TCCTGGAGAAGTTGTGGTTTTACTCCTTAAGTTAAGAGATTCTGTCACAGAGTAGGAGGATATCACGGACGCGTCAATCTTGAATGTCGATCATGTAAGGGAACATCGTGCTGGACAGATAGTAGGTGCCAGAAAAGTAAAAGTCGATAGCCTGCATATTACACCAACGATCGCGAACAGCGTCCATTTAGTATTTGACAATTACTCAGAAATTACTTGGAAAGATGGATAACTTAGCTGAACTGTTGCAAAGTATGGATGCCGAAACGGTGGAGTTGTAAGGCTGCAGTAAAGCTACCTGCGTGGTGATATCGACGACGAGGTCACTACGGTCTATTCCGAGTGGATTATACCATTATCTTATCCCCTCATCTACCGAAAGGGCGTGGTGAGTCCAACTACCTAAGACCAAAAAGGCACTATTCTCACGGTCTGAATAATGATTTATCTCTAAGATCCATCAACCGTCTATTACTGGAATTCAAACCTCAGTTCTTCACTTCGCAAACTTATGTGCTTTTGTTCACAAAGTACAGGCCTTATCACCCTCTATCACTTGTAGCGGTTCAGGAATCTGGTGATGACACTGGAAGGATGAACGACCTGGTCCACCAATGTCTGTTGACTGAGGAAACTGTCGATAGCTGAAGGGTGACAAGGACAATACCGCTGAAGGAGAAAGGCATTCATCATCATCATCGACAGCATGTCATCAGTGTTCACCACCGATGCTTCATTGCCGTACAACCATGATTAATTTTAAAGCCTTATTGTAAATAAAAGAATAAGGGTGGATGGGGAAGGGACTTAGTGCTAGCCTGCTACAATCATTCCGGTGTGTACACCTTCAGACATTCATTCAGGCGATCTGGATAGAAACTGACAACAAGAACGCCACTGACATCGGTTGGCAGCCATATCTTGTAGTGTCTCCAACCAGGTACAATGAGGATCACGCGGTGTCCATCCTGGAAGATGAGTAGCGCCGACAGCACCCAAGCGTTTCGTGATCTCCTTCTTCAGTACGAGTACCCGTTGCATAACTGAATACTCGCTTTCTGATCGCACCGTTACGGATACGCCGAAGCGACCATGACCTATGGTTCTGAGACAACGATTATCGAACACCTGAAGACGTCTCAGTTCCGCTGCCCGAACAGGCCAAGTTTCACAGCCGTACAACAAAACACCCCACAAAGAACGGGATGACTTTCGTCAGTTCATCCAAAATCCCCTGCCCCTTCTCCTCCTTTCCGAAGATGAGAACGATGTCGTCTGCGAACTCCAGATCCACATGGTTTTCTTCACAGGCTATTTGGACACCAGGGTTTTGGAGACCTTTCAGCGTTCGTCTCATTATCTCATCGATCGCAAAGTTATAAAAAAAATGGAGAGAGTGGGCATCCCTGACGGACACCAATTTGTGTACGGATGCTTTTGGAGACCTCTTCGTATACTTCCAGACGTCCGGAAGTCTGAGAATACAAAGAACGTATTATGTTCACAGACTTCCTTCCGATACCTTGGTGGGCGAGCGTGTCAAGAAGATTAGACCGATCAACCGAGTTGAATGCTTCTTGGAATTGAAACAGCGTGCATCTATAATCTCTTAAAAATATTCTTCGCCAGAACAAAAACTGCCCTGCTTATGGAAGAACGGTTTCGACCATCAAACAAGCCAGTTGTTCAGCTGAAGTATCATCTAGACACGATAATAATGACGGCGGCACAAGAAGTGGTGTCACTGATATAGTGTACAGTCGCTGCTGTCCAAGTCGACGTAAACTGAACTAGCCCCTGTAGTGTAGCCTCTTCTATGTCACATATTTCGTGGGAAGTAACTTTCCACTGGTTCATTTGACGGCCACACCACGAGCATGGGTTCAAGGTTGAGATGAGAACAGACTAGTTATAAGCTGCCTTTTTGCATCAAATTCCCCCCTCACTTAAAAGTCCACTAACAGACCTGTACTTACGCACCAATTTATCAGCTCCCTATTTCAATGCGCAGCTACCTACCCCACCTCGCCGAATCATCGGTGGACGAAATTGTGGCTGTACGACCAGTTCGCGGTTCATGCAGCCGATAATGATGATGAGAGTGAGGCATAGCTCAGGTCGATATCAAACGAGAAGTACCTATGAGTCTAGCTGCTGGCTTTCGCCTCATAAAATCGTCAACCAGCGTACCACGTTCATATGGAATATCAAGCCTAGTGTTTGGAGAAGACTAAGTATGTGAATCTAATACACGTGATCCCATGGTGCACAGAGCCTACATCTACACAAAATTGCCAGCAAGCTTCATGGGATTGGAGCTACTGAGAAAAGTGATGGAATTAATTCCAAGACAGAGTCACTGGGTACAAAATACGGATCAGTTCGTGACAATTCTCCAACCAGAAACACTGGTTATTTGTGGACGGAGCCCGGGTATGGAGAAATAGATTAACGATCAAAGTATACTCAAAGGGAAATCAGCACCAATGCAGTGTAAGACAACGTTGTTTGGACTAAGAGACTTACCAGCTGTCATGATGAAAAAGAAAAGGGCGTCGGTTGGTTAGAACGAGATGGTGACCACGAGGTGTGTAGGAAGGAATTGATGTGGTGGATGTCTGAACAAAAAAGAAAGATGCTACTTCTGGCGACTAGTAATCAATAAGTCATGCACTCATTAAGCTATAAACCGGGTATCAAGACACATCGGCGCCAGCGGAGGGAGAAGAAAGCAGTAATGAACTGAAGGTGTGAGGTTGGAGGTTGGAGGTGGATGGGGTTGATAAAATTGCACCAAACTGAAGTTGTGAGGTGTACTTATATTGGTTGATGACAGATATACATTAAATTCAAGAGCCCTGATAAAGTTACACCACTGGATAAGTCAATAAGTCATGCCTGTCTGTAGCCTGTGCATACTAGCAATAAATCCCGTTCGGGAGAAAAATTGGGGTTCGAATCTTGGAGCTAAAGGCAACAAAGTGAATATCAATAGCAGACAAGTAATCGAGACATAAAGCTGAATGCCAATCTGCCTCTCGTTTGTCATTACTTCGACGTTTGGATCGCCGAATACGTCCTAGAGAGATAGCTTAGAGAGCTAAACGACTGGAGACTATGACCAGCGATACGTTCCGCTCCGAAAGGGCCTAATTAGACAAAACACACGCAGACATCTGGAAATCCACAGGCAAATCCTCTACAACGGAAATTACAAGCCCGAAGGTATTGGTATGAGTTAAGCTCAAACAGCATGCAGCCAGACAACCTGCACGCAAAACAACGGATTACGGAAATTGTATTTGACATTTTTCCGGTAAAATGGGCAAAATACTATTTAGGCAGCCTCATTTTTCCTGTATGTCTCAAAAGCAGAGTCATTATACTCCCGCCATACCGCAAAGAAAGCTTCTACGGTGAATCGCAATCTACTAGTTTTATCCAGCTACCTGGCACTCAAACACTCAAAGAACGCCCGAGTCAGACACAAATTCCAACAGGCGCTGGGCATTGTTAATCACGGTGATTTTTTATTTGTCAAGGGCGCAACACAACCCTGCCAGCTGACCCATTAAACGGACAGAATTCGCATATATATGTGCCTCCTACCCGTATTGGCAAGGCCTATGACTGCAGCGAAAAGTAGTGAAATGAACGCGTTAATGAGTGATCCGATCAGATACAACGCATCCCGGTTGGCGTAAAGTTGAAACAGTGGAAAAGTTATTCAGTAACCCCACGGTTTCTGTGATTAATATCTCCAACGCTGGAACGCGTGCCGGAGTCGTTAGCAAATGGTCAAACCAGACAGACCGGTCTTTAGGTCAGACAACAACCCGTGTAGAACAAAGTGGATGTGGCGAGACGAATTACGGACACGCAGCCAACCTTTCACGAAATCCACTCGTATAAACATGGGCAAAAGCAGCAAAGAGGAGGCTCTGTTCTAGTGGCTTATTTAGAAGTGGCAAACCAAAGTGACAGTACAGGAAACTCATCGAAACAGCAATATAAGGAAATAAAAGCATGGGGCGTACTTTCTCATGATCATTATAGATGTTAGGAATCAACAAATAGAAAAACGAAATGGAGAAAGTGGCTCAATACACGAATTGTGATGAATGCGACAAACTATTCCATGCCACAACCCACGGAATTAGGGACTTGTACGATTGCGATGAAAGGTTATTTTTTTTATTTACTACATCGCTCGACAGAATACGTAAGCGGATTTCAGAAATTCTACTTGTTTCCACCGGACCCCTATTCGTGAGTCTGAAGAAAAAGTAAAGTCAAAAAATGAAGGCGCAGAATGCCATCAGTCTGCGTCGCAGTGCGGGTGGGAATGGTAAACTCCCTTGGTAATTACTGGTAAGGATGAAAGATAACGATGCCCAGAGTAATTCAACACAGAATTGCACTGTATAGACTGGGAAACAAAAAGTCTGGCATATTCCCAGAGTGGCTGATTTTGTTTTGGAAAACAAAGAGACGTGTGGTTTTCTTGATACAGCCCTACTACATGAGGTACATCGAAACTCTTCAGTAGCTCACAACTAGTTTCATCCCTTTTTGGGCTTGTCAAGTAGAGGCAGCTGCAAGCAAGTGTATCAGTACGCTCAATCGCAAATTAAGGTGCTAACATGCAACGTAATCCATTAGTCTCGCTGCCCAGCATCATTAATGCACACTGGTGACCGCTTACGACAGCCTTTCCATAAGAAAATTCCAAATGCCACTGCACACAGTAGTTCTCAGAAAGGTCGTTGAGTCAGGTGGTCTGCTTCAAACATCATTAATAAGAATTCAACATACCATGAAAGTATAAAATTGTATGGGATAATGTTGATCCGACCACCACAATCAACTGTCGGAGCCGTGTATGCTCAGAGCGATTAGATTGTTTTGATAGTGGAAAGAACACCGAATTACCTCCAGTGGACCATCTTAACAGTCTTCTTTGCTACTTTGCTAGCGTGTTCGGGTCCGATTCTCTGATCTTATGACAGCCGTGAAACTCTGATGCTAACGTGGCGATTAGAACTGAAAATATGTCGATTGAGAAGGCCAGGAGCAGCACGGATTGTGATGGGAATGAGCACACGATGAGTATCGCAGGATATAAATCTAGTTACAAAGTTGTAGAATAGAACTGAATATAGGATTGAGCAGAGGTTGGCCATTTGAACCAAATTATGTATGGAAATAATCAAGTAAATTATATGCCTTCCTCAGCTGGGAGTCGACTCCCTCCTCGTGTATTCGCTGACAAAACACAGAGTATTCGCCGCTAGTTTTGACGGTTTACTTGTAGGCCGAAAAAATGGTTACCTATAGGCGAGCTCAACAATCTGCACCAGTATGACGAAAGTGAACGGTTCATAATAAGACCAGTAGTCCGAGGAAAAGAAGTAGAGTAACCATGCAAAGCGTGCTCTACAAAATGCCAATAAAGCCATACACCCCGAACGAGACAATCTTCGAGTATACGATTTCCTAATTACATTCTACGATGGGTGTTCAATTAGCCGATACTAAATGGCCCAGATTTGAGAATAACAGAGGTGATGCATCAAAGGTGAGTATGCCAAGAAGCAGAACGGTGCCCGGTTCACCACTCGTCCGATGAAGGATATAAGAAATGGTGAACAAAATATCGTAAGGAAATGAATCATTCAACGAGCGCTACCTTCAGCTTTGTGCAATCGTTGTGGGTATACGGATAGTGTGGTGATGGGGACAGGTTGGCAGAGCGTGAAAAAGCTTGCTATGTACAGTATGTATCCAGAGTCTAAGCTCATCCAAGCCTGTATACAGAAAGTACGACGATTGCTGCGATTGCCGTCAAGATTGATTTTCGGAAAAACATCATTAGCTCACAATAAGATAAGTTGGATGGAACACCAATGCCACAAATGAGACAGTTCGGCATTCTATTATTAGAAGTTCAGTATGAACAACCCAGATGGAGTGATGCCCAACTGATATCCGAAGAAGGCCAACGGCCTTCAATGAGCGAGGCTACTGATAGCTGATAGTTACTGAAAGTCAGCTAGTGTCAATAAACGGTGAAGAAACGGTGGTGACATGTGTCAACACACTCAAAACACCCCGTAACCCCGGATGTCTGATAATCAAACTGGGGATAAACGCAGTGAACAGGACTGCTGCTCCGACATATAGGGGCTTTGCACTGACCAGCTTTTAGTCCGTAGATTAAATCCACTTATGATGTTTGGAGCTCGGCCTCCAGACCGTGAAGGCCGGTGATTAACTCGAACACATTTTTTCGTAAAACGAAGGAGCTCGAAGTTCGTGTCACCGAACAGCTGATGAAGAGAATGTGTTCAAATGCTGGACACTCATTTTTAGTAACAAAGTTATTGCGTTGCTCGACGGAGATTTCTTAAACTGGAGGTTTTATGACCATTTGTCATTACCCGCAGGACACAGAGTTAAGAACCGCGCTTGTTGTTTGCCACGGAAAAATTGGAAACAAAAAAATGAGGCCCAGTCCCATAAGGACTAATTCATTTATGTTTTTAGCTTGGTGGTCCTCAGCTGAAAGGGAGCCGAGGTACGCCACTTTAATAGCATTCCGAGCAGTATGAAAAACAGTGAAAAACCAGAGGCAACACAATAGCTACAGGAGCAAATAATTTTGTGGATTAGACAGAGTAAAACGCACCTCTCTGGTCCTTCGTGGCCCGGCATCAATCAGATTAACATCGACATTGCTGGCTTCTCCTCTGGTAAAAATCGACTGATAAAGGAAGCGGCAAAAAGTACCTGCGAAAGGCACGGATGGACTTCGGGACAATCGGCAGGATAACGCCAGCACCTACAACGGTGGCAAGACTTGTTGAAAACCAGTGAATTTGTGCGACCCAAATACTGTTAAAAAATTAGATGATCAAGGGTTAATCTAGGGTCGAGGTGGTAAACGGTGGAAAGCCACTGGGGAGATGCCTATTAAAGCAAAGCCAAAAAATTCACTTTTCTGAAATGCTACCAGTGCTACCAATCTGAAGGTTATATCACAGTTTGCTTGTAGTGCGTGATCAGTAAACCAGTCGTCAAGGTTAACGGATTACGATTGACGATCGTCAGTGGTACATAGGTGACAAACCAAATAAAAGAAACGACAGACTTGTACGTGATCTGATGAATGGAGCTGTAAAGAGCTACCACCTGATGAGTTCTTCTGGTATGCTTGAGTCCACCAGGCAGGAACTAACAGTATACAGACAGCAGGACGCCCCAGTGTACCAAACAAGCTCACGATTCAGTGAAAAAAGTAAATCGTTCAGTTGCACCACCTTTCTGGTGCTTAGCTACCATGCCACCTGAGGGAAGCACCAAGGCTTGGATACCGCCAAGCTGCCCAAGCCTAGATAGTAGAAGTCGAGATGCAGAGGCCGGGTTCGAACCACGGACCTTCCGGTTAGCAAATTCGCGCTCTAACCAGAAAGTTATTTCATCCCCGTAAATCTTGAGGATAAGAAACCCCAGTACATGCAGAGTAAATAAGATGTTCTGAGATGTGCAATTCCGATCATGCGACGCGTAAGTCAATTTCGAACGAACGATTGGTTGCCCATCTTATGCTGTCAATAGTCGATTGTCTTTTTTTTAAAAAATAGTACAATTTAGTACAACGGTTCCAGTTAGCTCAGCATCTAACCATCAACAATGAATTGTGCTTAGTCGATATTCATATCGATTGTCCGCAGTAAAAAATGACCGAGAGCTTGCGATGATAGGAAACGACCTTTAGAGTCAGGTTTGTATGAAACACAAAAGACCGCGCCATAAATGGCATCCAAAGTTGTTCAGTAACAATAACTGAATCGTGCTGCGTTGCTGTGCCATTGAATGTCATTGAAGGTACAATTAACCATACCAACGGAATGGGGATGGGAGAACTACACAGGCGAAAGTGAGTGCCAGACGCCCTCAGGACAGCAATCATGAAAGGTACGCATACATATAGATCGACCTACATAAAAAGAGAACTCACGCTTGTCGAAACCACTTGCCAGCCACGAAGTAGGGATGGGCGGTATGAGTTTATTACCCACGGGTGATGAGTAATGGCGTGACTGAAGAAGAAAAGAAAGGATGTGACGTGCAACGAGTTGAAAAGTTTAACCCTATGTGCGAGGCCAGATTCTCAACCTTGGGTGTTCTAACGACGTACAGTACACATTTGAAAGAGTAAACTGATAACAGCCTCGGATTAGATGACCATATTGTTGCATTCGTTGTAGCTGTAAGATCAGACTTTTTCGATGACTGTGTATTATAATCAAGATCAGGTGTTCCTCTATTCTACAGGACAAGATGAGGTAAATACTCTGAAAGTCATCACGAGGTAACAGTCCAAAAAGCAACAACTTAGTGTTTCGTCCAGACGAACTGTGTGAAGCGGCACTGGATGACAGCCTCATATGGACGAAATCACGTTCAATGAGTAAAACAGAAACCATTCCGCGTAATAATGGGGCATTAGATTATATATATGGTAATATATAACGGCAAAAGATAATCAGGTACCACACATCTACTCTATTTATAGGCGTCGTATCTGAAGATTCACCGTGTAACGCCTCTGGCTCTAAAAAGATGGACCTTTCTGTTCCCTAATCACCTTACTAGCAAAAACCACCCAGTAAAAAACTCAAGTGATTTCTTATTGGTTGATAATGTCTTTCTAATCTACTAACATGTCAAGGTGTAGTACTCGTTCGCGTCTAACACCAGCGAGTCTATTCACTAGAGTCACACCGTTTTGTGGTGCACGTGGAATACTGTAAGAACTGTGCGGATTGTTGTTGGGTCTGCTGATCAAAAGTCCTCTATTAGCACCTATTCTTATATGAAGCCCGTAACATCCAGTCGGATATGTAGGTATTGGTAGGATACGGTTACGACATCGCGATATGACCTTTGACTCCTTGTTGTGTCTGCTTCATATGACCGATTTACAATACAGCTGGTCAACTCTTTTATTCGTAGTGCATGTGACAACAACTATAGCCTAGTGCAGGACCCTGTTCGACATCTACGGGTGATAATGCATAAGTGAAGGTCAATTCTACACGCTAACTGGATTGTCACTTCCAGGTAGCACTTTCTCGCCCTTCGGTTGCTTCTGATTTATTGCGACTGACTGACACAGGAGGACGAGTCGACTTTGAATTACCCGGATCGCAGCAGCTCACGTTTAATGACTGGAAAGATCAGCGATCCAGTCTTGTTTATGGGGTTTAGGATGTCACAGAAATATCGGAGGCCAGAGCCTTCAACCTCCACTTTGCCCCTATGAAGCCGTGCGATTAACTGGAATCAATGACGGCAACGCCGAATCTCGGAGGAAACTAGGATGAGGCTTATCCACTTCCAACCCCTCACCTAGCTTGCGACTAACGTTACCAAGCAACTGCATTTGACGATGTCATACACGCAAGGATAGTTGTGAAATGCCGAAAACACCTTGTCGGGCTGTTTCGTCGGAAAATCTATTGGCTAATCTCGTTTTCAGAACAAACCTAAGACAGTAATAATCGAATGGCCCCACCTTCGGATGTTTGCGCACCGCACGAGTCATGTCTTCTATCCATATTCAAGAATGAGACGAGGAGATTTCTGTTATCAAACTAACCTCAGTTTCATGCTACATGGCATTCAATTGGTGAGACATGACTCCCACATTATCAACGCACATCCTCATCTCGTCTCTGGGCTGTCTATGAAGAAGGTACGAGCCAAAGTACTCAAATACGAGAAGGGAATTTGATGAGTACATCAGCTGGTGTGAACTTCAGTTTGGAGGGCAATAAGCTGGCATTTAGTGTTTGTTTTTAAAGTTCAATGTGGAGTTCAATGGAACTGATGTGGTGATCTATCCCACCACCAGACAGCAGATCAACATCAACAGCATATTCAAAATCAAAGATCCGAATACATGTCGGAAACTGCACACCATTGTAGCATCCGCGTGAACGATTCAGGATCCAGTTGATGACGTAGCTGCAGACGACTGAAAATAGATAGCACCCCTGCCACAGTGCAACATGTACAAACAAAAAGACGCCTCACCATAAACCCAAACTCTTGCTCTGATTGCGAGTAGTGGAATCGGACCAAGTTAATGAGCCTGGGGAGCACTCCATTGATTGACATGGTAAAACGAGTTATGCGGCTCGCAAGGCTATGAAGCACGTGGGGATAGGCTGTTGAGACCTGAAGCCGTGTTCCAGTATACGACGCAGAGTAACGGCCCTCGATCAAGGCCATATACGAGTGTCTTTCTATTGCGAGCCGAACACCCTGGCTGTTACATCGACAAGACCTACGCCCACATACCGATCAGTCACGTTTTAGTAAAACTCAGATGTTTCAGTAAGACCAATTACAAACACCACACCAAATGGATTTGAATAACCTACGGGGCAGCTTGAGCACACGCTTCGTAAATTTCGTAGTTCCTCGTGGCTCGTCTGAGCGTTAGGCAGGTGGTGAGTACTTTCCTGCACTGAGTAAGCAACAGGAGTTTCTTGTGTAGAAAGCATTCTTGAACCAAAGTAAGTGATGTATCAGGTTTCACTTAGACTACAAGAGCATGGAGCAAGTACTATTCAAAAACATGCAACGTAGAGAAGAGACATCTGCACAATATCAAAGGAGGCAATCACGCTGATGAAGTAGCGGAGGATGGCTTACCAGCGGAGGCACAACGACCTAGATAAAAGAAAAATAGGGAATAGATATGGAACGGATGGTGACTAGGTTGTAGGATATAAAATATGGCGGTAAAAGCAATTGCTAAAAGGGGGGAAACCATTTATCCACAGAGGACGCCCCATGCTCCAAAAAAACAATCACCATGACCCATCCGGAAAAATAGACATCTATGTTCTCCTATATATACATATATATATACCCGTTTTCTTCATTCCGTCGTGTGAATCTCGGTTGCTGGTACATGCAGTACAAATATGCCTCTAGACCGTCTCGTAATACGATTTCCCACAGCACGAGTACTGGCTGTTCCTCGTCGGACTTCTCCCCATTGGCATAGTTTAGCCCAAGGAATTGAGTTCCAGCAAATGCAACTCGCAGAATCATTGCAGCACTGCCGCCCGACAAACAGGACGTGACAGCTTTGACTCAGGTTGGAACCTGGAGTGAGCTACCTAAAAGTTTCTTCGTAACTGGTAGGGTTAGCAACGATTTTTCCAACTTTGTCACTGGTATCACCACGAAGTTCACCTTACAACTGACGATAAATCTGCGCATTAAAATCATATCTGCAGAAAGTTTGATAGGTTCAAATTACGCGGATTACATTGTTTCGACATTTGTTGGTTAGACTTCTATCTGAATGGGATATCGGAATTGGTTTTCTGGTAAAGCATGCGCCATTCAAGTACAAAATGCAGTCTACCGCAGGATTTATAGCTCCCATGTACCTCTTTGAAAGGTCAGAATGAAGTTAACAGGTTTGCCTATCTTGGCGGCTGCACAGGCCATGATCCCGCTGGGACAGATGAGATCAAGGCAAGCATTATCAAAACCGAACAATATTCGCTACCTTGTGCTACCTTAGGTGTCCCAAATAGATACCAATTGAGTTGAAGGACTGTGTGCGCAAACCACCAGGATGACATTTCTACTAAGACTGTGGAATTTGACCCTTCCCATGTGAAGATCTCAGCTATCTTTGAACACTCAACCCTCAATGTTTCCGTATTGTAGCAGGCATTTACTGGCGATAGTGTCAGTAATGATATCTTCCGCTCGCGAAAATCAGTCATAGTCGGGTTCGCCCAAGAGACAGATAAGACCTATCAGGTTAGGACGGTTGAGGCTGGTGCCAACTACGTTCGACCACTACTAACAAAGGAAGCTGTTTTCCACTCGAAAACCTCATCGGCGAAAGGTCCGTGGAGCGCAGGTCCTGATACGAACTAAGACAATTACAGTGAGCAACGTGAGACCTTTATATCCTCCTGACATATGGCAAGCCACGTTGAATGAAACGTCCAACTTCCCCGTCAAAGTGTAGATGTAAGTGTCTCAGTTAGGATTTGCGAGACGCGTAACGATGATGGTTCCCAACAGGGCTGAAGACACTCCAAAGTGCCACAATTTAGGTTGGTCGGTGTGCGTGATGTGCTCTTAAGCAAGCTAACGGAGAACATCAAGCTTGAGTCCTAATGGAAACCAGTTGCAGTACATAGGTCGGGTGAAGAATCTGAGCCAAGAATCCATAAGAAAGTAAGCGAATGTAAATCTTTTATGAAAAGATAATTTTAATAGGATGCATACCTTTCCATACTGTTCCATGTAGTGACGACGTCGAGCGTCCACTTGCTGACTTGCTCCGGAGTTTGTTTCAACTCGACTGAAACAATTAGTTATTAAGGTTTGATTCATGAACATACCTGCGAACAGTCCGTATTACTTTCATGTTACCCGCCTGCATGATGAACACAACTGTAAAGAAATCAAAACATGATAATTTGATACTTGAGTGACGCAACTATTGGATAAAAGGGAATCAAGTACAGTCGTTCCAGCTGTTGCGATCGTGTCGACCGACAGCACGGTAACAAGGACGTGTAGACTTGCAGCCATAATGTGGAGAACGCAACATATGAAATAACAGCATTGCTCAAGTCCACAGGACATTGGGAGAACAGTCCGGATGGAGGGTGACTGTTACGCGAACGGAGAAATATGTCAGAGGGTAACGGTTCAGTAAGTGGTTGATGATGTTCAGAGAAAAGGAGCCAATATTATTCGGTTTTCCAGGTCTCGTAAACGCAGAGGGGTGGGTATTGTAGGGACATCCCAGACGACTGCAAGTTAGTTACTTTGGGTCCGCTCAGAACTAAAGAATGAGTGGTAGCCGTAAACAATGATGAATGTAAGTGAAAACCTGACGAACAAGGATAAATTAGAGTCCTTTCGCCTGTGTTTGTAGTCCATTGATTTAAAACCAAGAAAGCGTTCCACGAACGAGTTGCTAAGCCTTCCTCTGTGGCCATTCAAGCGTATGAGGGACACATTGCAGCAGCGCTAACGTCGTATTCAGGTAAGTATATACGTGCATAATACCGATCATACAAATCATGAAATTCAAAATTCCATAAAGCTCTCACAGACTTAGTTGGTGTGGCCTTTGAACCACATGCAGAAATGGTTGAATGGCCTACTTCTGCTTGAACGATGAGTTCCAGATGGTAATTTTGGGCGACTTTTGGCCAACTGCCTGTTGTGGCTTGATGACAGCGCCCATAGCCACTACCAAACTTTACAGACCAGCGTATTGAACGGGTCAGTTGCAGTGACCATATACGGTGCAGATCAAGATCGGTCGCGTCGTCCGAAAATAAGAATTCACCGTATATTGTGAATATGTAGGAGTTTGGTGCCTCGGGAAATATCAGCGGGCATCTAGACTCCTGATGACTTCAAAAGCACTGGTGATCCCTGAGAGGATGATATGCGTTCTGGGTTATATGGAGACTGCCTACTCGCGGTCAGTAGACTTCTACGAGACCAGACGGTCTGCAAAAGTGAGATTGGTGCTTAATCTCATCCAATGCCATAAACACACAGACACTGCAAATGTGGAGCTCATATCAAACCTCACTGGAACACTCCTTCCCATAGTTGTATAGCAGTTAAACACCAGTATTTATCGCTGGTGTATTCAGCCCGATAAGAAGCATGTCCATGAGAGAAATATCTACACTGGTCAGAATGATTTGAGTTCCTAGACCATTCGGTGAAAGATAATCGACATCATCCACGAAGTCAGTGTTGCGAAGGGACAGTTGAGAACCGAGGAATACCAGGCGGGATCGGAATTTTCTAGCAGGATACCAATACATGTACCCAAGAAGAATGGTGAGAGGACAGGTTTGTCTAACATCACTCAGTCGGAAGCGGACCGCAGAATTGAATGTTTCCATATGACTTAGCATACCCTTAGGGAAGACAAGAATTTATCCTAAACATCGCAAACAATTAGACACTGTCACGGTTTCTCGTGACCGACGAAGTCAAAGGCAGTTTTCAGATAATGAAAAACTATCATTCTTATTCGCAAGAGAGCGACACTCGGATACATGCTCAACGAATCCTAAGTCAAATTGTCAATTTACCTGCCGACAGTTGATTCGACAATGCAAGATAATCTACAGTGAAATGAGAAATATTCAGCTTGATGTACACGACCGAACCGGACTATCGTGTACAGGTTATGCAGACAAAAAAACTGACGAAACACCTATTGTGGTGAACTGGTGGTTATTTACACCATCAAAACCGCCATATGACCATTACCTTTGGTTATCTGGAGGTTAAATAACAGCATTTGTGTGCTGTAAACCTGACTGATATCCCCAAAAGCCGTGTTTTTCGTTCTCTGAACGTCATTAAACCGCATTTCGACGTTCAATAATGGTGAAATAATCACCATGCAACCGCATTTTACGGCTACAACGAAGATGAATAACGGCGCCGTAACGTAGTTCTTCCTAACTCGGTTATGTGAAGGTTAAGCGTGCAAATCGTCGGACCGGTTACAGGAATGAAGGCCTGGTAACCGAATCTTTACAAACTGATGTAGATCAATTTTCTGGCCGCTTGGAATATCACTGTTACCACAACTTTTCGATCATCCTGAAGGAACGTCCTCCACACTGGCAAACCATTTACACATGGTGTTTCGTCAGTCGCTTGACGAAGGCCGCCTTCCCTCTGATTGGAAGGAAGCGATTGTCACGCCAATCTACAAAACTGGTGACCGACTATCGCCTGGCAGCTATAGGCCTATAGGCCTCACTAGCTTGCCGTGCAAGATCATGGAACGCATTCTGAAGCGAGCTATCCTAGATCACCTTACTTCCAGCAATCTGATATCTCCAA